GAAGCTTGTGTGTCTTGGGTTTAGCAAAAACGTGTGAATCCATCTATTGGGGCTTGATATCCATAAACCAGAACAACAGCGTGTTGAGCAAACCATGTTAAAATAACACTGCTCAAAAAAATAAAGGGAACACAAAAATAAGGCATCCTAGATCTTCATGAATGAAATATTCTTATTAAATACTTTGTTCATTACATAGTTGGATGTGCTGACAACAAAATCACACAAAAATTATCAATGGAAATCAAATTTAGCAACCCATGGAGGTCTGGATTTGGAGTTACACTCAAAATTAAAGTGGAAAAAAACACTACAGGCTGATCCAACTTTGATGTAATGTCCTTAAAACAAGTCAAAATGAGGCTCAGTAGTGTGTGTGGCCTCCACGTGCCTGTACGACCTCCCTACAACGCCTGGGCATGCTCCTGATGAGGTGGCGGATGGTCTCCTGAGGGATCTCCTCCCACACCTGGACTAAAGCATCCCCCAACTCCTGGACAGTCTGTGGTGCAACATGGCGTTGATGGATGGAGCAAGACATGATGTCCCAGATGTGCTCAATTGGATTCAGGTCTGGGGAACGGGCGGGCCAGTCCATAGCATCAATGCCTTCATCTTGCAGGAACTGCTGACACACTCCAGCCACATGAGGTCTAGCATTGTCGTGCATCAGGAGGAACCCAGGGCCAACCGCACCAGCATATGGTCTTACAAGGGGTCTGAGGATCTCATCTCGGTACCTAATGGCAGTCAGGCTACCTCTGGCAAGCACATGGAGGGCTGTATGGCCCCCTAAAGAAATGCCACCCCACACCATTACTGACCCACTGCCAAACTGGTCACGCTGGAGGATGTTGCAGGCAGCAGAACATTCACCACGGTGTCTCCAGACCCTGTCACATCTGTCACATGTGCTCAGTGTGAACCTGCTTTCATCTGGGAAGAGCACTGGGCACCAGTGGCGAAGTTGACAATCTTGGTGTTCTCTGGCAAATGCCAAACGTCCTGCCGGCATATGCACGTGTACGCACGCTATTGTGGCACACCACAACAAAAAGGTTCGCCATCACAGGTATAGGATTTCTTGAGTAGGGGGTTGGACTAGAAGACCTCCAAGGTCCCTTCCAACTCTGTTATTCTATTATTCTGGGCTCTCATATGGAAGTGGTTTGCCAATGGTTTTTTCTGAAAGCTCCTAGCCTTCAGTCTTCTAAAGAAATATGACTTCAGCCACAGAGTGGTCAGTGTCTGGAATACTCTACCTGACTCTGTGGCTTCTTCCCCAAACCCCAAAAACTTTAACCTTAGACTGTCTACTGCTGACCTCACCCCTTTCCTAAGAGGTCTGTAAGGGGTGTGCATAAGCGCACCAACGTGCCTACCGTCCCTGTCCTATTGTTTCTTTTTTATTTTTCTTATATGTATCCATGTATTCATAACTATGTTTTTTACTTATACCTATTATCTTGTAAGCAAATGACAAAAATAAATAAAATAAAAATAAATAAGGAGCTCTCGTGTGTAAATATCCACAGCTTCCAGCCTTAATTGGCTTAGCTTGGTAGGTGTTTGACAAGTTTGGGGTTGCAATTAGAACTGCTGGAGACAAAGAATTACACAGCAGATCAGACTTTAGATTTTAGCATTATGAGTGAACAATGCTCACGGCTCATCCCCATTTCTATTCAGATCTATTTCCATCCCTAAGTAACAAACACAGGACTATTTTTAAACAATAGTCAAAGAGAAATATAAAGCATTAAACTCAGGCTGACTAACAATCCATACCATGCCTTGAACGTTGATGAGACAATTAGAGGGGCATGGCTGATGATTGCTTTCTTATTCGAAATTAGTCCCAACAACAATAATCAGCTTTCGTTCCAATTAAACATGAGTTTACAATGATTGCTCTGATGAGTTTCCAGCTAACAGGCTAAGCTGCGGTGGTTGAGTTTGGCCTTCCAGTGGTCTGAGTGAATGCAAGCATTCCGGTTTGTTAAACCATGATTTTTAAAATCTGTCTTAGCCATGATTCTGAACCCAGTTTTGTAAACAAGCAAACTATGATTCTGAACCAAGTTTTCTAAAACTTAGCAAACTTTTTGAACCCCGATATCTATGGAAATTCTCCAGTCATCCAAGTCAAGAGTCCTTAAGAAGCAACTAAACTTTCTGGTTTTTCTTTGGGTAATCCTCTTCAGAAAGCTTTTTCAGTTCTGGTCCAAAGGGCATAGCTAAATGTCCATGGAGATTCTCAATCATCCAGGTCATGGTTGTCCCAAAGGTGCTTTTTCAAGAGACAACAAGATTTTCCGGTTTTTCTTTGAAGACGTTTCACTTCTCATCCAAGAAGCTTCCAGAACTGATGAAGCTTCTTGGATGAAAAGCGAAACATCTTCAAAGAAAAACCAGAAAGTCCAGTTAAAAAAAAACAAAACAACCATCTTTGGGATAACCTTGAACCCAGAATTGTAAATTGTATTTCAACACTTGCTATACCCAAAAGAGCTTTTATGTGGTGTGTTTAGTCTAAGTCACAACAATGCTTCACTTCCCCATATTTTCCACCAAGAGGATTTAACATGTTTATTCTAACTAGAATTATTACGCTTAGCTGCTCTTTTTCATGAGTATATTTCTTCCCGACATTTGTTTACATCCCGTATCAACAGTGAGTTATTGCACTGTTAAAACTATTTAAATATTTTTGCAAACTATTAAGTCCAGCTTGTTAAACCAGATTGCTCTGAGCCAAGAGCGGTGCATTTTTAGTTAACCAAGTCACCGTGACAGTGATTTCCAACATAAAAGTGGGGAAATAAAGCTTTATTCCATCCACGTTTATCTGAAGTATGGCTAGTCCTTGACTTACGACCGCAGTTAGGATGCAGAATTGCTCAGTAACATGGTTGTTAAGTGAATCCTAATTGATTTTTTGCTACCGCTGTTAAGCAGTTCTTAAGTGACTCATCGGGTCGTTAAGCAAATCTGGCTTCCCCCATTGATTAGGCCTGCCAGAGACCAGCGGAGGTGGTTGCAAATGGTGATCCCTTGACTCTGGAACACCACAATCATTGTAAATACATACCAGTTGCGAAGTGCCCGATTTTTCATCATGTGACCATGGGGATAACAGATAATCAAGAGTTGGAAGTGATCTTATAGGTCATCTACTCCAACCCCCTGCCCAAGCAGGAGACCCTACACCATTTCTGACAAATGGCAGTCCAATCTCTTCTTGAAAGTCTCAAGTGATGGCGTTCCAACTTCTGAAGGCAACTTCTGTTCCATTGGTTGATGGTTCTGTCAGAAAGTTTCTCCTTATTTCCAGGTTGAGTCTCTCCTTGATCAGTTTCCATCCATTATTCCTTGTTTGGCCTTCTAGTGCTTTAGAAAATAGCCTGACCCCTTCCTCCTCTCTGGGGCAGCCCCTCAAATATTGGAAGACTGCTATCCTGTCTCCCCTGATCCTTCTCTTCACTAGACTAGCCAGGCCCAGTTCCTGCAATGGTTGTAAATTTAACAGTCTTTATGAATTCACCTGCAGCATTTAATAGCAAAGGTTCGAGTTTTGTTTTCCTTGGCTCTTGGAACAGATTGGTTTTGTGCATTTGTGTATTTTCATGCCTGTAGTGCCTATGTTGAGCAGGAACCATATTTACATGCAAATAACATAGCTGAGCTACACCCATATGTGTGTGTTGGGCGGGGGAAATCCTGTAACACTTTGTACATTTTATTCGGCCATCTGGAGATAAAATATTTTGGGAATCTCACAGATGCTCACATAGTCTGCATTTGTGATATGGGAAGGGCGAAGGAAATATTTTAGGAAGGTTCCATTTAAAGAACGTTTCGTATCCTTTCTGTCCTATCTATAATTATAGCTTCAGTGCTTGTATCAGTGACAGCTCTCTGCTCTTTCTGATCCATTGATCTGAAGTTCACCCAGATGCAGGGTTGAAATATATTGAGCCCACACACACACACACACATACACAGGTGGTCACATTTTTTTAAAAAAAGGCTTTCCTTGGTTACTCAACAATGTTCTGGCTTTGCACAATATATTACAATATTAACTTATTGAATAAGCAGATAATTCAACCCTGGGAAAAGTTCTGGTGACTGTTAAAACAAAGCATGCGTAATATATTGTATAAATCCAGGTGGTAGGTGGTGTCTGATCTAGCTATAGGTGAGCAAATCCAGTTTTTAGGGAATTTAGACAGCTGAAATTATAAGGCAGGTCCTGGCTGGTGGTACCAAGTAAAGAGATGTCTTGTGTTCCAGTTCTAGGTGAATTTCCAGATTTCAATAGAAGAGAATACAGCGTGTGTAGCTCAGGGTGGAACTGTGGGCTCCTTGATTGCTCTGAGCTTGTTTTTTGGCTTGCAAACGTATCATTGCCTGACGAGGTAACATCACTACCTGTGATGACATTACCTGGTCAGATAAGGAAACGTCTACAAGAAAACCACCAAGCTCAGAGAGCACCAAGGACCCCACAATTCAACTCCAGGCTATAAATATTATCTTCTATTGGAGTTGACTAGGGCAGTTCAAAGCACTGGAAGTTTATTTCATGCTGTCTATGCACGAGAATCTGATCTACCAGTCAAGGCAAATTGGTGCTGGATAAGAGTCAACCGAAGTCATGAGGGCTTGGACTTAGGTCTCTTGTGAGAACATAACGACTCCAAACTCATAACGCCTTTGACCCTGCCCTCATCTGTTACATCCACTATCTAAACTCTGGTTGTCTCACAGAGTGGTTCTTAATTGAATTATTACTATTCCAGTCTGTTTTTCTTTAACAAAATGGCCACTGGTCTGAACTCTGAACTGACCATCGCTGACTAGCTAATTCTCAGAACATGGAGAAAAATGGTAAGGCACATTGGAGGTGGGGGGGAGATCTTGACCCCTCTCAAAATGAATGCAGATGTCCATTTGCAGGTGAAACGTCCATTTATTAACAGTTTCTATTAATTTTACATCTTCAGTCATTTCCCCAATTGTTTAGAATATTAAAAACATGCTAAGGATCAGCTGTGCTGGCCTCCCCGCACTGTCTTGCTAAAAAAAAAAAACCCTCTCCCCATAATTTAAATAGATATTAATTCAAATAAATAGTGGGCTACTTTAGAAGTCTTAGGCAATAAATAGTAGCAAAGCTCAAAAACAGCCCATTTGAATCCCGTAAGCAGTTTCACAGCTGGATAAAAGAGAAAGGAATCTTATCAACTTTCTTTTGGGGTTTTTTTTCCGTTCCTCTTTGAGAGGCTTCAAGAAATCTGCATGATAAACCCACTTGTAAAAGGGAGATTTAAAAAAAGCAAAAATATTCAAAGGAAGAGAGATAGTTTTGCAGACGGGCTACAAACACAGCTCATCACAAATGCGTCTCAAGCACCAGATCGTCAGCTTGAAGGCCACAACACTGAAAGACGCAAACCAATGTAAGGCACCTCAAAGTAAAAGCATTAGAGGATGCCGTTAAATGTTATATTCTTTGAATTTTAAGGCCCCTCACTCCTTTGTAGCTTTTGGTATTTTTCCCAAAAGGGAAATGGGGCTCCCTGCCACTGAACACAAAGCAACAGTGTCTCCCAGTGACCAAACAGGCACATCTTCGAAGCAACTTGGGTTTAGCAAAGAATCTGACAGCTTTCACTGGCTTTGCTTAGCCAATTCTCACCGCCTACTATTTGTCCTGCTTTTCTTTTAAAAAAAAAGAGGAAAGGGGGACACCATATGGCTTCAAAAGCCTCTGTGCGCTTCCCCCTCAATTCTATACAAGGCTAGTCAAATACAAGCAGTTGAGTTTGCAATTCTGCCCATATATGGATTATTGGTGGCTTCTGATTGCCATGGAAAAGAGAGAGAGAATAAACAACGAATGTTTTACAAAATAGCTCAGTTGCAATCATTCACCGGTCGCTTTTTTAAAGCCATCGTTGGCTATTCCAGATTCTCAAATGATAAGGTATGTATGCCTTCTAATATGCATATGAGAAATGGCCAGAAGGCATGCCACTTTAGCACTTGCTTTCTGTCCAACCATATTTGTAGAACAGCAAGGTACAGTTGGTGGGTGGAGATAAGTGCGTCATCATTTTAGAATTCATGCATTGCCACAAGCCGTCCAAATCCAACCTCTCTTGAATCCCATTGACGCTTTATCGGGTGCCAATTTAGTAGTGAACTTTAGTTGACTAGATTCTTGTGTGTAGGCTTGAGCAATCAATCTACATTATGATATAGTGTTATCTGATTGAATATGAAAAATGTTGAAATGAATATATGATATTATTCGGTAGCTGAATAATTCTTCTAAGTTATTAACAAGAATAAAATAAAGGTGAATGTCAGCATTCCAGCAACCCTCCATTCCAATCAATAACTCTGAGACAGACATATCTCAAAGGTACCTTTATTTGGATAGTAACTGGTACATCTGTGGAATCCTGAATCTGAAAGTTTTGGGCTTCCTTGTGAAAGTAAAAACTAAAACCCATCCCCTATACCCATCACCATATCCCATGGCCCAATCACCATCCGTCCCAAAGTAAGATATTCTTTTCCTTATGCGCAACACTACATGACCTTGAACCAGAAAAAGAATTTTATTTGGTCTAACTAGATGTACTCAAATGAATTCCTCCATCCCACTTTCTCAGGGCCACTTGTGGCAGCGTGGGAGCATCGAATCTCAATATGGCTTCCAAAGCTGACAGTGACTGTGCTTATGTTAAATTATGAGATATATTACAAATGATTTACAATTAATTCTTTCTCTTGTTGCCATCTTGTGTTCTTTAGGTCCCGATCACTTTAGTTCCAAGAGTCTTGCTTTACAAGCCCAGAAGAAGATTTTGAGCAAGATGGCGAGTAAGACGATGGCCAATATGTTGATTGACGACACGAGCAGCGAAATCTTCGACGAGTTGTACAAAGTGACCATAGAGCACATGAAAAACAAGAAAGAAGCCCACAAGGTTATGAAAGACTTGATCAAAGTCGCCATCAAGATTGGGATTCTCTACCGAAACAACCAGTTCAATGCGGACGAGATGGAGATCGTTGAGAAATTCCGCAAGAAGCTGAATCAGGCGGCCATGACGGTGGTCAGTTTTTACGAAGTGGAGTTCACCTTTGACAAGAACGTTCTTTCGGGACTGTTGAATGAGTGCAAAGATCTTGTCCATGAACTTGTAGAGCGGCACTTGACAGCCAGGTCTCACGCACGGATCAACCACGTCTTTGATCACTTTGCCGCTGTTGAATTCCTCACTGCTCTCTACAGCCTGGATGGAGAATGCCGTCCGCACCTCAAAAAAATATGCGATGGGATCAACAAACTACTTGACGAGAAGGTCCTCTGAAACCCGACTTTCCAAAACTTTTAAAGAACAGATCAAATTAAGAGATGCAAAACAGAGTTAGGAAAGGAATACAAGAGCCTGCTTCTTCTTTTTATAACCCACTCACTCCACCACCACCACCCCCCAGGTCAAAATATCTTGGTAACAAAATACTTTTATTCTGGAACATGTGACGTTCCGTTTGTAAGGAAAAGCCACCAGAAGCGAGATGTACTTCACCCCGCAAATGAAAAGAAAGGTTTTCGCACAGAGAATGGTTGACAATGCAAAAGAAATTGTGAAAATTGGAACTCAGCTCTGCAAAATAAACCTGAAGATCCATTTTGGAGAGGAAATAAAACGCCCCACGTTTCCATTGCAGAAGAAAACTTTAAAATGGGAGAGAGAGCACCAAGCTTTGTTTTAAAAGAAAAACCACACAATCGAAGTCGAAAAATGAAGAACTGCAAATTCAAGAAAATCAAAAGCACAAACAAGATTGCTTTTAAAGGATATAGTGTTTTCCACTGACAATAATGGAAAAGTTGGCGTAATTCTCTTAACGACTCTAAAAGAGGAGCTATTTTAAAAGTTTCATGCCATAAAGTCCTCACATGTTGCTGCAGTTAGTACCAAAGCAAACGAAATTCGGTTCTAGAACAGAGAAAGTTTGAAACTGACACTGGACTAAGCAGATCCTTTCAGACATCTTGTTATGCTCAGCCGCAACAAGGGATGTTCTGAAAAGGAGCAGAGACTCCAGGTATGGTGGATTTCCTTGGAGCCTTCCATCATCAGTGTTTGCTTGGAGAGTCTGCTTTGCTTGGAGGGTCACCGGGGAAAGAATGGACAATTGATGAGTGGTAGACACCTTGGGTGGTATGTAGAATGAAAGGGGAACCAGAGAGAGGAACAGCAGATGGCTGAAAGAAATGGGCCAAGCCAAACTACATCCATGCTATGCCAAAAATATACTTGGTAATGCCCATGTTGACCCAAGGAACCAACACATGTAAAAAAAAATTTTTTTACCATCTCCTTGGAGATACAATTGCTTAAGTTTGCCCATTTTTGATAACCTTCTCCTCCCCAAAAGCATTATCATTCTGGTCTGATGGCTTACTTGATTCACAATTTCCATTCAGGAAGCTGACACAACGGTATAGCAAAACGTTCTAGTCAAGAGCTGATAGAGAATTATTTCAAAGAGCATCAAAAGAACAGCGGTCCCTTGTTAGAAATGTTACTAAAGGACAACATATGTAAGGATCTTGCTGATGACTCCCAAAGTCCATCTATTAAAAAACTCAGTGAGTGGGCCTTGCCTACAAATATACATGTTTCTAGCAAAAGAAAATGCATCAGGGGATTTGCAGAGTAGCAACTGTAAGTTAAGCCATGCCACAGACAAGAGTATTTGCTTGTTTTCTGGTAAATACTGTAATTGCATGAAAGCAGATTTGAGTACTTCAATTGCATGAAGTGCAAGTTCGTACAATTACATTATTCATGACAGCGAATACTGTAATTGCATGAGAGCAGCCTAATTTAACTGCTTCATCTTACAGAAAGTGACTTAACAGGAATTAAATCAGGTTGCGTACCTGTTCTTGGACAAGCCATGTTTTTGCGTCATGCTTGCTTAATCATCTGTGCCAATGTAGCCATTATACCCCCCCTAGGACAAAAGATGGCTTAAAGCACAACTTAAGAAACTTGATTGAAAGCCTTGTTTCAGAGCTTGTCTTCATCCAATGGAAAATTAGCATCGAATCTTTTTTGAATGTACAAGAAACGGCCCGGTTCTCCATATCTACTCAACGTTGAGCAAAACTCTTTCAAGTTACTCACTGTGGCCAGACGCATCCCATTATTTTCAGCCAGGCAGGCGTGTTACAGGCACATATTGGTGTTCAGACCTGGGACTATTTTTTTAAGGAGTCAAATGTCTTGCCATTTATATTTATATGAGACTTGAGTAGCCTTAAACATACGGAGGAGTATTTATGCATTTCCCAGACTGGTTCTACGCTGTACGTTCAATGTGTTTACTTTTATATTGGTGGGGTTACCATGTAAAACCATCAGTTCCACACTGTCTGTGGTGTTTGAGTCAGACGTAGTGTTTCCTTACCATAAATTATACATTAAATGATTTGTGATGAAAAGATTTTATCTCCTCTGGATGCTATTGTAATTTTAATCCTTCTTGCTCACGTCTATCTCCTGCTGTTTGGTGCCCTCCAAAAACAATGGGGACTTTGACTACAAGAACCTTTGGCTATGAGATTTCTGATAAGAAGTCCTTGCAGGTTTTACTCCACTAGTTGTAGCCTACTTTAGGGCATCTCCATTTCCAGGCCTTTGAGCCAACACTGTCCGAAGATGTTCCCGCTGTCAGGTAGCCAAGCATGACATCATACCGCAGCACAGAGTGTGCAGTGAAACACAGAGCGTTGTTACCTTCCCATCGAAGTAGTGCCTATTGATCTACTTGCATTTACGTGCTTTCGAATTGCTAGTTGGCAGGAGCTGAGGTAAGTGACGGGAGCTCACTCCATCATGCACTGTTAGGACTCAAACCCCTGGAGCAGACCTTCTCCGGTGTCTTTGAAAGCTCTGAGCCACTGAACCACTCATCTATATGGTTTTTGGACATCTGGAGAAATTACGACCCTATTCGGCTCATGATTAGAATGATTTAGGATAGAGCATGGTATTTTATCCAAGGACAAGGCTCCTTACTCTGCCACACCTAAGCACTGTGAATGATACAATTAACATGGATGTTTTGATTATTCCTTATGGCCCTCTTCAGTATACACAGGCGCTGCAAGTTTAAGCCAGTTGGGGAGCATACCTATATCTGAACACCTGGGGTTAAAATGGTCATTGCAACATGCCTAGATTTTGCCTTACACAATAGATGTTATAAATGTTCCAGTGACCGATTCACAATGGTAGCTTGGTACAGCAGGATAATTTATTATATTGCAATTATTTTAAGTTAGGTGGTAATAAGAACAGTAAGAAACCACTTCTGCAAACAGTTTGAAAATAGAAAGGAAGTAGAGAGGGTAGAATTAAGGAAAACCCGGTAAGTCTCAACAAGTTTTGTTTGGTTCAGATCTACATACTTGGCAGAGTAGGACAGTTAACATTGGGCAAAAAATGGACAACAGGATCTTCAGGATAAACGGGTAGGAAGCTTCTCAGCCTCCAAATATGCCTCTACTACAACTGCAGATTATAGTGGAGGATTCTGGGAGTTGTAGTTGAGCAAGATCTGGAAGCCCAGAAGCTTAAACCTGATTTGATGACAGTGGCTAAAAGCTGCATAGATTTGAAATTATAGCTTTCCTAAACTGTTACAGGATAAATCCTATCATATACCATTAACAGTCATGTAGAAGCAATATTTCCAATGTATTTATTCTTCCAACCCCATAATCCCTATTTTTAATCCATAAAGGCATATATAGTAAACATGATCATACAACAGTCTCTGTACATAATTTAACCCAGGGGTCTCCAGCTTTGGCCATTTTAAGACTTGTGGACTTCAACTCCCTGAATTCCTCACTCATGCTGGCTGGGGAATTCTTAAAGTCGCCCAGGTTGGAGACCCCTGATTTAATACATTTTAAATACATTTAGTGCATTTTAAAGAATTCCTTTGTGACAACACTGAAAAATCGGGGTGGGGGGGGTGGGGGGTGGAAACCCCTACCAAAATTCAATCCCTTTGTTAGTTAATTGCATTCTACTTTCTTAAGTGAGAAAATTGGTGAACTTTGAAAGAGTGGATGTTCTACAGTTAAAACTGTGGAGTTCATAATGGATGTCTCTATTTTCTCTCACGGCACCTTGCAATCTACTTAGCAACAGAGCCTTCTTCTAACCATTAACTACACCTACATATCCATATCCATAATTGTATGTTTTTCAGAAGAAGCTACATTAGTGGGACTAAGAAATGGTAAGCGAAAGAAGTTAATAGCATAAGATAAGGGAAAAACAAACAAACCTAGTGTTCCTCAACTTTTGCAACTGGACTTCAACTCCCAGAATTCCCCTGCTAGCAAAATATAATAAACATGCCACAAAATGGTGGCATATAAATTAATCATAATTTTACATTACCGATCAGTCACTCTCTCTCAGCCGAACCTACCTCACATGGTTGTTCTTGTGGAGAAAACAGAAGGGGTGTTAAATATGTTCGCCCCCTTATTTTAAAAAAATTATGGGGTCCTCCCAAGGTCATCTTTTCTTTTATGAAAGTAAGTATATTTATACGTTTTCACATGGCCAAAGGTAGCGGGAAGATGGGGGGGGGGACAAGTCAGAAGATCTGGAAGTTAACGCGAAAACTGTAGAAATTCCGTATTGCATACCTAGAATCACACCACTCATCTCAAGCTGTGTTTGCAAAAAGGTACTTCCTTGATCACACCCACACCCCAACCAAAAAAACCCCTGGTCATCCTACTATCTATCCCTACCATAAAAACATTGAAGACAAACTCCCAATTCTGATGACTCTGATTGTTGAGGTACAGTCAACGGTGACCTGTGCCAAGAACTTTTCCACAGTGGCATGACCCAGCCATGATGCATGATGAGGCAATCATGGATACACTTACAAACTGAAGATTCTATTGTTGTTTCGATAAGTGCTTAAGAAGCCACCTGCCATGCCCACATCAAGAGTCTGAATCCGAGGAGGAAGACGAACAGCTGACAGGGAATGGGAGTGTGGCTCCGTTGGCTGTGGAGGAGGCTGGGGAAGGGCAAAATCCGGCTGGGCAGAGCAGGGGAGAGGTAGAACAAGGGAGAGGGAGTTCAGAGGAAGAACCAGGCCCACCCCCTCTTCATCCTAGGGCATGCAGGGAGGAATGGAGAAGGGAGCAACATAGGTTGTGTGGCTTATGGGGGAGGAAAGGGCCCTGATTCCCTTCATTAGCCGCAGCTGGGAAGACAGTTTATAAGAAAGCCAGGCTGCATGAGGCAGGCTGTTTGGAGCAAACATGACTTTATATCGTGTTGTCGTGGCTTATCTGTATTCCTGGCGTCTTCCCAACCATGTGAGTTTTGCCATGCCTTCAAGTCTGAAATTCTTCCTCCTGCCCTGCCAAACTAATTACTTCAGTTTGGCTTGTTTGGACTTTAAGTTACAATTTGTGTTGACCATGTTTTAGACTTAATTTTCTGTAGTCAAAGGCTGTTCCTGGGAGAGTTTTTCTCCAGCCAGAAGGTAACCTGGACATTGGGGGCAAAGTTGGAGATAATAAAGGGACTCTTATTGATTGTCTGTCTGTGTTGCCTTTGTGCAACGCCCTGGGTCATCACACCACTTCAAGAGCTTCAACAAAATAAGCAGTTCCCTGCACTAGGGAGTGTAAAGACTGAGTTATTCAAGTAACTGATCCTATGAATAATCCCGTGAGTTATACCAATACATTAATAGAAAATATGCGCCTTGCATAACATGTCTCGATTCAGCTACCCGTACCTTACAGCCTTGTCAACGTCAGGTGAACATCCTGATCGGTTTTCCCCTCCCACTGGAAGGAAAGCCACAGTGATGCCGAGATACACCTTCGCTCCGTGTAGAACACAAGTTTGTGATTGGTAAAAACCCCTACGCACAATCACTCCTCTTTCATACCAGTCCAAAAAAGGGAGTCCGTGTGGTTTTTCAGGATTCTTCCATCACCTTCTGACATTGATAAAGTAAACAATCTGGTAGAGCAGAACACGGCGATCTGAACCATAAGGCCAATGTCCCAGCATGGAGCCGGCAGTGAAGAAGACACGGGATTGATGGAAGCAGTCGACAAGCGGCTATTCCCTCATTTCCTAAAGAAGGCATTTGGAAAGTTCTTAATATCTGGGTTTCAGGCACAAAGGACCAGGACCATACATGCAATTGCAGTTCAGAAGATTTATTGCTCGAGCCTATTTGTGACCACATATCAACTCTAAGCTAATAATGTGCTTAACTCCGCCCCCACCCCAGCTCCGTTTGTTCTTCTCTTACACCAGGTCCTTTTATGGCACAATCACTGCAACACAAGTGGGTTTATTATTCAAAGAGAAAATGTCACACATTGCCTACGGGAATTTCCAATAACTTTCTGCTTCAGTAGGTGTGGGTGGGTGGGAATTGTGTGGTTTTTGTTTTGCTGTGTTTCTTGGATCCTAAGCTACAGTGTGACGCTTTATGAATACTGCTAGCTGAGGCTGGATAAAAATACTCATTTCCCCAAACACCCTTTTCTTTTCTCCAACGACTGAGGAAACAGCTGCCTCTGATTCCTGTTCAACTGTCACTCCCTGAGGTTTCAGTTTGGATGTAGAAAGGGGCGAGAGACACACAATTATTGAACGTTTTCCCAACACTGAGAATTTGAGGGAAGTGGAAAATAACTACTGACTTCTAGTCTGTATCTCCGTGTTCTTGAAACTCTGAAAAGGGGGTCCAAATTTCTGAGGTGAACCCGAATGGTTTCAAATTACTTCAGGGAAGTAGCTTCACCTCAGTCAAGAGCCCAAATCATTCCAATTTTAGAAAAATGTGGTTTAATCTCAGAAGTTCAGGATCACATATGTCATAAATCTGAAACAATGTTAAGTTACGTACCTATGATATCAACAATATGTAGCTTCAGTTTTTGCTGAAACACATCTAGGATCAAGGGCAGAGTTCCTTGAGATGGTGCCACCTTCAGATTTTGTTTGACTTCATTTGAAATGGAGAGCCACAGTTTTCCATATTCATCCGTGCTCATCTTCATTGGTCTGCACACAGGGTTGTCGATAGAAATGAAGAAAAGAAAAAAAACAGAAGGAAAAATTAAGTCAATTAAATGTGATATTTAACACGGAGGATCCATTCTGGCTAGGTGCTGAAAGAAAAAGCAAAAAATTATCTTCCCCTTTTACACACACAAACACGCAAGAAGAAGAAAGAAGAAAAAGGAGTACACTAATTTTCAAATCCCTCTGTTAACCATCTATTATTATATAATATATATTTATTTCTTGTGGTTAAGATTGAAAGTTTGTTTTTGTTTTGTTTCATTTTGTTTGTTTTACTGTTTTATGTTTTATTTTCTATGATGAAAAACAATAAATTTAAAAAAAAGAAAGAAATGAAGAAAAGAAAAAATAAGACTAAAGGAATGGGCAGCACTTACTTGATTTAATTAATCTACTATGCATTTTTAAAACTTTTCTTGAAAGATCGCCTTTCTATCTATTGGTCATGGATGGACATGCAGCCATGACAGTCAAGCTAAGAAAGATTTCATGAAAAACAGACGTTGGAGTAATCATTAAAGATGAGCTCAGACTGAAATCTCCCTACTACACTACAAGTACACTTTGCTGTCGAAGTAGCCAAAATATATAGACAGCTTGTTTACATGTTGCCTGTTCGATCCTGGTACGTCCGTATTTATTTCACAATCTTGGAAGCATTCAATGTTTTCAAATACTAAAAAAACCAGGACCCCAAGGAGGGAGAGGAAGTGGAGAAAAAAAGAGAAGGAAGCCCAACTGTGGGAGAGAACCTTACCAAGGAACTCTTAAGTTTACGTTTCATATGTATTAAGAAAATTATTTTATATAGTTACCTAATGAAGTCTAACGGTTCTAAAGAGAGAGAAAATCTGAGGTGGGCGTCCAATTCTAGCGGATAACTGATGCAACCAAAGATTTTTCCTGAAGAGCAGGGCTTCTCCATCTCTACATACATCTGGAAGCTTTCTATATTTTTACTTTCTATCCCAGCAAGTTGGCAGCCAAGACTTTCTACCACCTTCAATATAAAAGAAGAAGAAAAAAAAAACACGGGTAAAAAATGCTTTTTGGGATCCAGTACTAGCAGAAAGAGCCAAAGGGACGCTAAAAAGATTACCTTAAAATGTTCAGAGTGCTGGAATTCCAGAGTTATGTCTTTCAGGATGGAAGGGCCTTTATTGGCGAGAAATAAAAAAATGAGAAGACTGTCCTCTTTCCAGACCTTAGAAAAGTATACAAGCAGGGATTCGTTGCCGCAGAGTTCTGAGATGTCTGAATGAGGATGTTGAGCTGCTTCTTCTGGAAGACGAGGCGTCGGCAGAAGTTGCTTCTGAACTAGAGCGGGAGAACTTGGGGAAGGGTGGAAAATGTCCATGTGATCATGGGTGAATAAAGAAGATGGTGAAAACTGGTGATCCAGGGACTTTTCATTCAGCCCGCCTTCCGGCAACGAATGGGAGCGATCGAGCGTCGTCTTGGATTCAGGCATTTCAGAAGAATGTAGGGAGGCTTTCCTGAACTTCAGATGTCCGTTGTTTACAAAAAGGTCCTTCTTTCCGGTTAACCCTTCCTGAAATAGGGAAGTGGAAGGGCTGCTTTCCTCAGGCGATGAACTCTCGTTAGGGAGGGCTTCGGTCATTTTCGATTTCCGTGTAAACTTCTGAGCTGCGGGATCTCCTTTGCCCATCTTAAAAAAAAAAACGGGAAGTAAGGGGGACCGGAAAACAGGATTAAAACGGAAACCGAATGGTCTGAATGGACCATCTCAGCCAAAGCAACGAAGGTTGGGAAAGGGAGGTAGGGAGGGAATCCTAAAAATGTACCATCCATAAGGTAAAGGTTCCCCTCGCACATCCGTGCTAGTCGTTTCCGGCTCTAGGGGGCGCTGCTCATCTCCGTTACAAAGCTGAAGAGCCAGCGCCGCCCGAAGACGTCTCCGTGGTCATGTGGCCGGCATGACTAAACGCCGAAGGCGCACGGAACGCTGTTCCCTTCCCACCAAAGCGGCCCCTATTTTTTTTCTACTTGCACTTTTACATGCTTTCGAATTGCTAGATTGGCAGAAGCTGGGAGAAGGAACAGGAGCTCCCTCCGTTACGCAGCGATAGGGATTCGAACCACCAAATTACCAACCTTTCTGATTGACAAGCTCAGCGCCTTAACCACGCGTCCCCTTAGTTTATTTATTTATTTAGATTTATTTAAATTTAGAGCCAGTTTGGTCTAGCGGGTTAAGGCGACGGGCTAGAAAGCAGGACGCCGTGAGTTCAAGTCCCGCTTTAGACACGAAAGCCAGCTGGGTTATTTTGAAGTAGTAACTACCAGGAGATTGGGAGTTCTACTTTCTTCCCCTTAGACATGAAACCGGCTGGGTGACTTTGGGCCAGTCCTTCCCTCTCAGTAACTCACTTCACAGAGTGGTTATTGCAGGGAAAATAGGAGGAAAGGGTATTAGGCATGTTCGTTGCCTTGAGTTATTTATAAAAGCAAGAAAGACAAGAAAGACAAGAAAGTAAGACAAGAAAGAAAGAAAGAAAGAAAGAAAGAAAGAAAGGAAGGAAGGAAGGAAGGAAGGAAGGAAGGAAGGAAGGAAGGAAGGAAGGAAGGAAAGAGAAGGAAGGAAGGAAGGAAGGAAGGAAGGAAGGAAGGAAGGAAGGAAGGAAGGAAGGAAGGAAGGAAGGAAAAAGAAGGAAGGAAGGAAGGAAGGGGAAGGAAGGAAGGAAGG